CCCCCAGTGACCTATTTCCCCATGTGCCTACGGTTACAACCCAGTAGTTCATTCAAATTGTTAATCTATCAAATGGATTAATTCTTTAAAGAGATCAGAGCTCCTATAATCCAAATTTTTTCATCTCTAAACATTATTGCATTGCCTAACATGTGAGTTTTGGGGGGAGATTCCAAATTTTAACTATAACAACCATTAGTATGGAAATCGGAACTGCCAGAAAATCTACCATGAAACAAAATAATAAGAGCACAAATTCAATTGAGTTATTTTGTCTCTGACTTAGTTTATGTCAGTATAACATGGAAACATTTTAACATGCCAGGGATATTATGGCATCCTTTATTTAGTGGAACCTAGGCCACCAGGTTTGCTGAGTTTTGCATTTCTGGGCTAGATCACTGCATACAAATAAAAAAAGACTGGTTAGTTTTTTCCATGTGGAATCTAGAGAAAGAGCTTCAGATGGATGGGGAGACCGTAGGACACCTCAGCCACTCTGGGGAGAGTTTCTGAACCCCATGTTTCTGTGGACACATGTCTATTTGTCACTACTTCCTCTTGGCTTTCTGTGGTGGGGGCAGGATGCTTACCAGCTAGGCTAATTGCTACAATTAGCAAAATTAAATGCCTCGTTATGTTTTTATACAATTCCACCCACAGTCCACAGTTTTACTTTGGCATGAGTAATGGTCCTGTTGAGACTGTCAGTCTTGGACACACATGGAGAGTCTTTCCATGTGCCCATTTTTCAGGACAGCAGTTGGACAAAACATATGTCAACAGAGACCTCTGAAGTGACCTAATGCTGCCATACAGGTGCCCAAGTGAGAAGAAGAGATGTCATCCAAATGTTCAGATCATTTCACAGCCTGGTCTAAGGCAGGTTGACTCTGAAATTGGAACTAGAGTAAAATGACCCATCCTTGGCCATTTGGAAATGATCAAGCACCAGGCAGAAGGAATGTTATGAGTCACAAGTTGGCAGGATTTTGATTATTTTCAAAAGTGACATTGCTAAGATAAAAGAATGTGAATTGATTTGCATCCATCACTGAAGTTATACAAATGACGACCTCAGTTTTGCTGTGCTGTCACCCTGTGCTTCACTATCCTCTGAGCTATATTCTGAAAGACAGCCTGAGCTATTTTTACAAAGGCTTTAAGAAATTTTCCCTTAGAAACAAAAATGCAGGCATCTCATCCAAGCTTTATATAGTAACTATAATGGCTAATGGCAAAGATGTGTTGAGAATGCAAGGGAGCATATATTTAGTCTAGAAAATGGTTCATTAGGGAAAAAAAGTCTCTGTGGTTCTTGTCTAAACATTATGTCAGAACGTGTCTCCACTCAATGACTTTTGGTACGTTTGAAAGTGAATGCATAACCTTACACAATCCTGGTAAGGACATCAGAGATTTCCTCTGCTCGATTCAATATTTTCAGGGAAAGAAACTTTGAAAACCCAAAACTATTCTATTCTGCTGCTTCAAAGATGGGATCTTTAAGGAGTGAGAAAGTTCATTTAGGCTAAGAAGTGCTGAACTCTGAGTAGGTATTCCAACCAAAGTTCACAAGTACATTACTGTCTTACAGGCATGGTTGATTTTGAAAAGGCAGCAGGAGAAAGCTTGTCTAAAAGTTCATATGTCAGTAGCATACCATTTTATGTGCACTAAAGGGCAGAATATGCTTTATTTCTTAAAATAAAAAAATCAATAAAATAAAATAAAAAGTCAATGAGATTTCAATTATTCTCATTCACTTTTAATTGGTCAGCGCTCTCGCTTCATTTATTTCTAGAGCAAAATAGATAGGGCATGAAGGAATTAACCATAAATTCTTCATATTACTTTTATTTTCAGATTATCTTTGTATTTTATTTTTGCTAACACTTGAATCACATGATCTTGACTCAATAAGAGAATTTATTTCATTTGTTGTATTCATCATAAATGAATAGAAACTGAGTGTCTATAAAGTTATACTGTGAAACTAGATAACACACAGTTAAGTAGAAAAATGTAGAAGTGTGAAGAGGATTTAAAGGACATAGTCATTTTGGAGAATCACATTTGACTTGCATGGAAAAAAATTTATTTTTCTTTCATGCAAAAACTTAAAAGTCTTGGCATGGATAGAATATAGAGAGTTTCATTTAAAAATGTTAATTTGAAAGTAAAAGACAAAGTTATAGTATTTTTCCTTTAGAAAATGTCATGATCCTATGCAAAAAAGGTGAATAATAAGAGAAACATCCTCTCAACGGATTCTAAGTGGACTTAGGTCCAGAAATCAGACTAGACAATAAAGAATCCCATTATTTCCATTTATTTGCTAACCATAGCTCATCCCTCTTGGATTATTCTTCAGTTACTCTCCAGCAAGGGTTTAATATCAGACTGAAAAATAATTAAAATTTAAACACAAAAATCAAACTTTGCTCCCTTGCACCTTGATGACATCTCTTTAAATCCCAATACTTTAAAAACTCCGTTATCTATGCCTCTAGAAACTAATAAAAGTTGTCTTATGGCAGTGGTGTGCTTTCTGAATCACAGAAGCAAGATTAAATCATGATTTACCTCTGGAGTAGTTTTTTGTTGTTGTTGTTCTTTTAATCTTCTGAAAAGTTGTAATTTATAACATGAAGGATATATCATTTCCTTAGCAAGAATTCATTGTTAACTAAAACATCACAATCTTCAAGAATGTCCAATGACAACGTTTACAGTACTGGGGAAATCATTTAAAAAATCAAACTTCTCACACCCTCCTGACTGCCAATCTCACCTCCAAGATAAAGGACAGTACATTATCTCTTATTTACGTAGTCCTTGTTTCAAATCTTAACATGGAAAGTGAGGGATCAAGTTGAGAAATAACTTAGAACTTACATGATAGGAAGAGTGAAGGGGCTGTCGTGTTTGTTTGCTTGACACTATTATACTGTCATCTGTTATAACTCGTGGAATCAAGGTATAGTTCAACTGAGAAATTCCGTTTCCACAGATCATCAGTTAAAAGTTGTCTTGGAACTAAAGAAGCTAATAACTCATGATTCTGCACAAAGGTGAAGGATTTGCCAAAAATGATCTTTTTTTTCCCCCCTTCTACAATGGGGGTGGAATATTTTCACCATGTGCTGACAAGAAGAGGGTCCTCCTGGAGCTTTACCAGTGACGAGGTGATCTTTCCACATCCCGAAAAAATGATGAGCTTTGATTGTGTTTAGTGGAAATCTTGCTTGGAGGATCAAGCCAGGGAGTACTAGGAAATATGTCTACTGGTAAAAATTGTCTTATCTTTAAAAAAATTGATTTGGGGCTTTGTACCAAAAGAAGTCCTAGGTTGAGCCCTCTGTCACTTCCTGTGGATGTCCTCATGGGGACAGCAGTTTGTGGATGACATACTTACTACAGGCAGTGGCTCTAGAACTTGGCCACTTTAAGGGAATAGGACCGTCCAAATAAGTAAATAATTACATTAATCTGACTTTTTACCTTCTTTTTTAGTGACTCGAATAAGCTTTAATCTATCAGTTGGGTTAATATAAAACCAGGGAAAGAAGTTTAAGACATCTTCCACTGTGGTCAGGTTTATTCTAATGAATGGATGAAAATAATCATTTACATCTTTGATTTCCTGGGAAACATTGGCCAGTCTTGACAAGCCCTTTCTAGTTAGGCTGTTTCTCTCTTCACCTGATATTCTTATAGCACCCCTGGCCAGGTTCCTGGGGGCACCAACTTGCAGATCTTGCAAGAGACAAGTGTTTTCAAATCTGCCGAGGCAGGCTGATGAATTTGTGGACCAGTTTCTGACATCCCAAGTGATTATGATGCTTAAAGTATTTTAAATAATTCCAGGTCTATAAAAAAAGTGATGATGCCTATATGTATACCCTATATTTATTTTATTACAAAAATATTGAAATAATCCATGAGTTATTCCACTCTGCACCAACTATAAAAAAATACTATCAAAGTTTGACCGGCACTTTTAATGCAACGAAAAGCACCATGACCAAGGACACGGAGAACAGAAAGCAGGGAACGTTTACTTGCTGTACGGAGGTATTTAAAACCCAGAAGCTTGTTGTAAGAGTGCGACTTTACAGATGATTCAAATACAAATCTTAGCTGGATAGAGTGATAAGCCCTCAATCAGTTCAGAAGGGTTTCCTTATAGCATATTCACCCCATTGGTATGCTCATACTTACTAACATTGTCCCAAAGCCTCTAAAAGAGATATCACTTTGAGCTTGGATGGGAGGTGGGTAAGTCTGTACACAGTGGAGAACTTGTTCATTTGCTTATCTGCTTTCAGGGGGCTCACATCACTTATTCTCAGTCACTGGGGCTTCCGTGTCAGTCCTGTGGTTGGACGGAGTTTGGCACTATAAAGATGAGGCGTGGTGTCTTCTGGAATCACACCTGCCCACATGCATACAGCGAGCCACTCATTCTGTATCCGGAAACAGATGCACTTGCAGCCCACTCCTCTCTGGAGGCTCTGTGCTTACATTCCAATGTGAGCTGCACACGCCTGGGAATCAGACTCTTTATTCTGTCTCTTTTCCCCCCACTTCCTATTGGTGTATGTTTTAAACTTTTGCAATTGAATACTGAAAGATGATTATCATTTCATTTACATCACGAAGTTATTGAGCTCCTTGGTCTTGTCGAAAGCCATACATGTGCTGCATAGGATTCCTGTCATAAAGATGTTCTCAACTGAAAATTTAAAATTAAAAAAAAAAAAACAAATCCTGAAATGTGTATAAAATGAACCATTCCATCAATGCTGATACATATGTAAACACACTTGAGTTTGCTGTCTATTGAGTAGGCTTTTTTTTTTCCACACATGATATTGGTTTTCAAATGAGAAAATGGTTTATGAATTCTTTTCTAAGCAGTACTACTTTTTTTTTTCTGAAGTCTTGAGGGATATATTCTCTCTCTTGGTTTTTATATTTCTTCAGGAATCAGAGCTTTGCATCAAGAAAATCACCTAAGCTATTTTGACAGAGGACTGGTGTGTGTGTGTGTGTGTGTGTGTGTGTGTGTGTGTGTGTTAGTGTGTATGACTGAATATATTTTTATGCAAAAATCAGTTAACTCCATTAAAACACCCTATTGATTGGAGGCAAACTCTTCCATAATAATAGTCCCTTCTGGTGGATGGTGCTCCAAGACCAGTGCAGGAGGAATTTGGTAGCCACAGTCATACTGAGCTGGTGTTGCTCTCCTTCAGGTGGAGTAAGAGACTCTGGTTGCTGCTGGTTGGAAAGAAGACCAACAGCAGGCAGTTAGCTGATGGAGGATCAAACCCTAACAGGAGGACCGGGGGCAGACTGAGAACACTGCAGCTTGTTGCCCCTACTGTAAGATGAAGTGTCACGATCGCCACAGCCCTGCTGTCACCCCTTCATCTGGATGTTGTGGCTCCTGCAAGTTCTCTCGTTTTTATAAAGTGGTCTCGTATTCCAACCGCTCCTGAATAAGGGCATCGTCTTTGTACTGCAGCCTCGGAGGAGACGGGGAACATTCAAAGGCTAAAATGGCCTTCCGGAGGCTTCGGTCCAACACGTGTCTCTCCCAGGCTGGGTACCTGTTTCTGAACAGGTCAATTTTTATGACGGACTCTTCGATCCGTGGTGGGCGAGACGATGGGGTGGACGGGGCCGTGGGCCTCACCTGAAAGACAGGTACACAGCCATCCCGCTCGGCGAATTTCTGGTCGCGGTCGCTGGCCACGCTGCGGTTGTTGGAGATGGACCGGAGGGTGCTGGTGGCCACTTCGGGAGGCAGAGAGAAGGCGGCCACGGGGTCCTCACAAGCACAACTTGGTGACTGCCCGAAGCGGGGCCCGTTGGGGTGAAAGAAGGCATAGTACATGAGCATGAAGACCACGCCCGTCAGGAAGCTGCTGAAGACCACGCACAGCGCGGGGATGGCGAAGGCGTCGGCGATCTGCGGGGCCTTGTACAGGTACCAGAGGGCGCTCAGGGCCGTGTTCTCCAAAAGGATCACAAAATAGTAAATGAACAGCCGGCAGCGTGTCCTGCCTTCCTTGACGTTGAACCAGCTGAAGATGTAGATGATCCCCACCACCATGTCGAACACAATCTCCTCCCATTTGGTGATGCAGAATTCTGTCTCACAGTGGACGATCCAGAAGGTCATGATGCACCAGTGAAGGACGATGAAGATCCCAAAGTACAGCTGGAACACGGAGGCGAAGAGGGCGAAGGTGATGACCCGGGCCGCGATGGTGAAGAAGTGCCAGCAGAACTGGATGATGACCGCCATGTAGCTGATGGGCTTCTTGTCGTCTCGAGAGTCCCGCAGGGCCTTCTGGTAGGAGGCCAGAGCCCAAGCCAAGGACACCAGGGAGGCGGCTGCCGTGAAACCTACAAAGGCAAACAGGAAGACATTCTGTCAAAAGAGAGATTCAGGGATGCCCTGGAAGTCAAGTCACACGGGGCTGGTGGCTCGGGACAGGCTTCCACCTCCGCAAAGGCTCTTATTTTCTTTGGATTTTTAGTGGACTTCTCACTCAGGTGGGGATCCTTAACTATCCTCTCTAAGGCATCAACCATCTGGAGAAGGCTCCACACTCACAGGAATGCTACTCCAAACCAGTGTCAGGTCCGGGATGCAGAGAATGGGTAGTTTAACTTTCTGTGTATTTGGTGTCAATAGACTTGGGCTGGGGGCTGATGGAATGGGGTTGCTGTTCAACTTGACCAGGTGTTACCACATGACCCTGGACAACCTTTGAAATGAGAATCCTCATTTTTTTTTTTTTGGCGGGGTGGGAGTGTACTAGGGATTGAACTCAGGGTCACTTATCCACTGACCCACATCCCCAGCCTATGTTGTATTTTATTTAGAGACAAGGTCTCACTGAGTTGCTTAGCACTACTCCTTTTTATAAGTTCTGCTGAGGCTGGCTTTGAACTCACAATCCTCCTGCCTCAGCCTTCAGAGCTGCTGGAATTACAGACACTGCGCCCAACAGGATCCTCATTTATAAGGCAGGCAATCCCCGGGGCTCCCTACCACTATGGAGATTCCATGGTTGAAAGGTATATAGATAGCATCACACTGAAGCTTGAGGGGCTACATGGTTTACCTTTCTGCTTCCAAGCAAAAATGAATGAATTTCATTCCAAAAGAGAGTTTATTCTTTCTTTAGAATAAGGAAAGAAGTTCACATAGTGAGCTTGACAGTGTTTCTTGTGCTGCCCAGTGTGCAGCTCATCCTCATGGCTGAGGATACTCAGGGTTCCTGCAGCTTCTATCTGTGCCGACTACCTTTCCCTGAAAAGAAGTATTCATTCACTGTCTTTCATTTCTTAGTCTTTCATAAATTAATGATTGTATTGAAATTCATTTTTTTTAGCCATTCCTCTTATTTTATCAGGCCCATTTGGTTAGTAGATCTTCAAACTTTGGAATTAATTTTTATTGCCTTCTTATACTTTTATTCCATTTAACGGGGTCTCAAATTTCTGTCTATGATCCAGATATGGACAGATCTTACCTAAAAACATACCAGCTTCCCAGGAGATCTCTCTTTTGGAGAATTCCACTTTGTCACTGGAGTTTGCAATTATTTTACTCAAGAAGATGTGCTGAGACTTGCCAAGGTTAAGAACGGTTTCAGGTATTATTAAATTAAACTGACTTTCTCCTCATCAGATCTATTATTAATCATACTCAGGCTGAATACTAGTTTTATTTCCCTCTTTAGAAATAATAGAAGGTGTGTGGATTTCCAGGAGTTTATGATGGGATCAGTACTTTTCTTTTTTGAAACAATGTTTATAGAAAAAGAGCTATTGTCTAGTATCCTTGAAAAATAAATTTTAAAAATACGATTCTTGTGGAAAGAGGCCATATTAATGGATAAAAATTCAAATCCAATAATCACACCTTACCCAGTCTCCTTGATTAACACAAACTGCAAAAAAACCCCAATTATTGATGAAGAAAATGTTTTCCAAAATCCACTTCTCATACTTCCTCACAATAAATCTACTAGAATGTTTAAATGAGGATGTCAGGATCTCCAGGTTTTTGATTTTTGATTTTTTTTTTTCAGGGCAGCACAAAAATCTTTTATTCCTGTAAATCACAGGAAGCTATCTATGGCAATATTTGTAGGTTAGTTACAGACCAGTGGACAAAGGAGTTTATGATAATTCAGTTTCTGTGCAATAGAAAACAGCCATATCAATTTACAGTAAATTCTAAAGTGAAAAGAGAGGAGTGGAAGAATTTAAAACTGGATTAAGAAAGAGAAAGGATGGAGAAGAAAGGTGACAGAATAATGACTATGTGAATGATATTTATGATCGGTTCAGATCAAAGAATAAAAGGTTGTGCCATTTTAATTTCAACGCCTTTGTATGGCATAGAAACTGCTCATACCTCACCTCTTATCTGTGTCCCTTGAAAATTTGTAGCCTCTTGAATAGACTTGTACTCAGTTTGCTTTTAACCTGGACATCTTAGCTGTGCAGGGACACTCTTTGTGTTCTCACTGATGCACCTTCAGCAGGAAGTGCTGGCGCTTAGTGCCACCTTCAGGAAGGTGACTGCCTTGTTGGTCAGACTTTGCAAACTGAAGAGCAAGCACTCTTATTGGAAGATGTTACAAAAGGCTGTTTTCCAAAACAGTTATAAAACAAATCACCACCACTACCACCACCAGTTTGAGCATCCCTAGTCCCCAAATTAAAAATCCTAAAAGCTCCAAAATCCAAAACATTTTTTTGGGCCCACGTGACACTACAGAGGAAAATTAACACCTGACCTCATATAATGGGTCACAGTTAAAATGCAGGTGCAATAAAGATAACGTACAAAATTGCCTTCAGGCTATTTGTATAAGGTGTATATGAAACATGAATGAATTTTGTGTTTGACTTGGACCCCCTCTCCAAGATATCTCATGTAAATGCAAGTATTTCAACACCCCCCCTTTAAACTTAAAAATCTGAAATATGGGACTGAAGATATAGCTCAGTGGCAGAGCATTTGCATAGCATGCATGAAGCCCCAGGTCCTATCTCCAGTTCTGAAAAATTAAAAAAAAAAAAAGAAGCCAATCCATCAATCAACCAATTAAATCAGTCTGAAACACTATTGTTTTCAAGCTTTTCAGGTACTCCACCTGTCTAGATCTAATAGAAAAATTAGCCTCACTCAAATTTTCCTGTAACCTTTATCCCTTTTGCTTCATTGTCTTAAAAGAATAATCCAGTCTGTGATTGACTCTCTGGGAACTGAAGATGATACACTGTCAGTAGAAAAGGGAACATTTTCTATCAGCTTTGCTTTCAATGAAAAGAGTCTATATACTAAAGAGGAATTCCATGTCCATTCTGTTCTGTTCACCCCTTTTAATGAGTTCTGTTTTTCAGCAATGATTAGCATTTCTCTTCTTCATTTCATTATAATTTTCTCTTCTTTCTTTTTAGCAATTCTTTTTTTTATAAGACAAATACACATCTGAATAGAAATATGGGTCCATTTTAGAATTAAGTCCTTCAGCATTCCTTCTTTTCCAATCCACTTTTTTTCTAAGCCACCTCCAGTGTTCCGGTTTCATCAATTACAAATTACAATAGGTAAATTACAATTACAGTCCTGCCTTAGAATGCTTCAATCATTTGCTCTTTACACAAGTAATACCAGAGTGGTTATTTCCAGTGTGGAGATAGATTTTCTCTGCAAGGCACTGCCTTGTGATTGGAGTGGAGTTCTCTGGATCATCTGATGTATGGGGGTATAGAACGCTTCTTTAGCTAACAATGTTAAAGCTTAATATTTTAAGATTTTATTTTAAAATAATTTCAAACATATAGAAAAATTTCAAACTAAAAATAGTACATTGAATACCTATATAAATTTTGCCTAGATTATTATTTGGCTTCATTTGTTGTATTATTATGCTCTTCTCTCTCTCATTTGATACTAAGATATATGACTGTTTACCCTAAGGCACATCAGTGCTTATTTACTATGAAAAAGGATATAAAACCACAGTAAAGTTATCAACTTCAGCCAATTTAATATTTCTTTCTAATCCACCTTCAATATTTCAGTTTCATCAGTTGACCTTAACAATATCCATTCCAAATCTTTTTCTTTTTGGTACAGGATTAAGTCTGAGATAAGGTAGTGTATTTAGCTGCCATACTGATTTAGTTTCCATACTGATTTAGTTTTCTTTAATCTGGAATGTTTTCATAGGCTTAGACTTTCTTTGCATTTTCTGACATTGAATATTTTCTTCCAGTACCACAGATTGAACCCAAGGGCACTCTTCCACGGAGCTAACTCCACAATCCTTTTTATATTTTATTCTGAGACAGTGTCTTGCTAAGTTCCTCAGACTGGCATGACATTGAAATTTTTGAAGAGTATAGTACCTTAAAAAAAAAAGATAATCTTCTTCATTTTGGGTTTGTCTGCTTTTGTTTACATTCAAGGTATGCATCCCAGGCAGGAATATGTAAGTGACATTGAACACTATATTTTTGCTCACGTCATTAAAATACTAAAATATAAAGGTTCCCTCAGTGGTCCCAGGACATAAATAATGTGTCTCTTGGTATTGTCTTTCAAAATAATGAACAGCGAAGTTTTAAGATCAAACTGTGAAAACAGCTGGAGGGGACTCAAAGGGATTCTATTATTTCTTAAAATGTTAAAATAGATGGTAAGACCTCTGAGCTTACCTAGTGCAATGATTTCATTTTACCAAAAAAAAAAAAAAATTGAATCTTGCCTTTGAGAGATTAAGTGTTCTATCATTTCTCCTTCCTGACTTCCTCTTGTTTCAGATGAAAATTGTCTTTAATCTACCCTGAAATTAAACCTCTTGCTTCCTTGACAGCAGATGTTCAATGCCATCCCCGGGTCTCCATGAGATCCTTCCCTACAAACATCTGACAAGTAACCCTTGTCCCAAGAAAACCATTTACTTG